ACACACAAACAGAAAATTTGTTTGTTCGGTATCCTCCCGATACCGTAAACAGCGCTTAGTGGCCGAAGTGCTGCAGCAAAGGAAACCGTGCATCATTGCAAGGCAGCGGCAGAAAAAACAAAAATATACATATAGTTAGAAAATTGGTCAATTCGACGGGAGTAACGGCAGCAGTGACCTTCTACTAATAAAAAGTGGCAGCTACGACACGACGGCAGCTAGAGACAGCGGCAGCTAAGAGACAGCGGCAGCTAAGAGACAGCGGCAGCTAAGAGGCAGCGGCAGCTAAGAGACAGCGGCAGCCAAGGGACAGAAAAAGTTAGGAGAAGAAATAATAGCTGTAGTAAAAAAAAATAAAAGAAAAAGGACTACGTAAGAAAGCCGATAAAATAGAAAAGGTGGAAAAGAATTGGAAAAAAATTCAGGCCAGTATCACGAGGAACTACTAAAAGAAGGTACAGAAACAGATGAGTACTTTAAAGAATATTGGTTCGATACAATCAGAAACTATTATAGGAAGATGTTAGAATTAATAATAGCACTGAAACGACATTAGATACAACGGGAAAAGTCAACGAAGAAGGAAGTGAAGCGGATAAAATATCAGAAGACAATGACATAACTGTAGTTGACACTAAAAAAGAGGTTAAAAAGATCAGTAAACTAAAAACCTGGTTAATGAGTTGATTGAAGACTTGGAAGAAGACTTAGATGCAAAGAAATTCATTACAACAACGAACTTCAAGTACCAGATTGGCGAATAGAAGAGTTAAAAAAACAGCAAAAAAATATAGCGATTATATAAAATGACACACTGGAAATAAGTAAAGTTGGCAGAACAACATATAAACAGATCAATACCTAACTAAATACTACACTTTATTAATTAAATGAAAGTAAAAAAGCGGAACTGGTGGTAAAAAATAAATTGGAGCCGGTAAAGCTAGAACCATTCAAGATGCCGATGTTCTACGGAGATATAAAAGATTGGAACACATTTTCTAATTTGTTTCATGAAGCTATACATATACCATAAGAGATATACCAGACTCCGAAAAAATGTATAGATTGAAGGCATTAGTAAAATATGAAGCTGGCAGACTAATCCAGCATATGAATGTATCTGAGGCAAATTATAAGACAGCCATTAATACAATAAAAGGGATGGGTATCGACCTTAATAATGCAGAATCTTTAATAGCACGAGAAATATTAAGAAAGCTGGACAAAGAAAGCTTTAGGATGTACGAGTTAGGCGCCAAAAACCCAACTGAAATACAAAGCTTAGATAAGGTACAAAAATTTTTAGAACACCAATTCCAAGCACTAGATCCGATGAAAAATAAAGATACAGGCGATAAAAAGATAAATTATCCAACGAACGAATGCAGAAAATTTTTAGCAACGCCAAATATTGACAGACGATTAGAAAACAGGGGCACAAAATATACAACTATTGTACTTATAATTTAGTTCATTGCCTATCAGCAATAAGAAAGCATTTCTCAACGCTAACGGCACATGTAAAATTTACCTGAGCCATAAAGATCAAGACAAATGTAAGATGAAAGTGTAGTAGTATTACTACCAACAGCAATGGTTAACGGAAAAACAATTAGAGGAAAATATAAAGAACTACGGGCGCTTATAGACCAAAGATCCCAAGCATCAATGGGAATAAAATCCAAAGTTAATAATATAAATATGAAAGAAGAGTTTATAGTCATAAACAAGTTAATTAGACCATTGCCAGAAAAAACAATAGACTACGATAAGAATCAGTGGAAAAACTACAACTTGGCAGATCCTGAATTCATGAAAACAAAACAAATCGATTTAATAATCGGCAGCGACATTATCCCGAAAATAGTAAAGAAAGGATTCACGAAAATTAATGGAATTATCGCCCAAGAAACAATATTTAGAGGCAAAGTATTAGAGAAACCAGCAAAAAGAAGCAAGACAACAATTACAACAAAAAACATAGAAAAGTTTTGGGAACTAGAAAAAGCAAATAACACAATCAATGAAAAAACAGCAGAAGATGAAATATGTATGCAATTTTATGATGACACCACTTAAATAGACGGCGACAAAAAATTTATAGTGAAACTTCCATTAAAAAAATATGCCATAATAGGTAAATCTACAAATCAAGCAATGGCAAGATTCTTAAATCAAGAGAAGAAAATGAAGAACAATGCGAAGAAAAAAAGAAAAGAAGAAAAGAACTGAAGGACATATGGAAAAAGTAAAAGATAATACAATAGGAAAATATTACTTACCGCATCAAGCAGTGATAAGAGAATCAAGTTGCACTATAAAACTAAGGGTAGTATTCGATGCATCAGCAAAATCGACAAATGGAAAAAACTTAAACGACATAATGATGACGGAGCCAAGATTACAGCAAGATATATTTGATATATTAATGAAATGGCAATTATGGAAATTCGTCGCTTCAGCCGATGTAGAAAAAATGTTCAGGCAAATAAAAATTTCACCAGAAGACCAAGATTACCAAAGAATTTTATGGAGAGAAAATCCAAGGGAAAAAATTATGGAATATAGATTAACAACAGTTACATATGGAACCGCAGCTGCATCTTTTCTAGCAGTACGAACACTACATCAAATTGCTGATGAGTCAGAAAAAAATAAAGATATAAAAAATAGCATAAAAAAGAATTCTACATGGATGACTTAATGACAGGAGCTAATTCAATATCGGAATGCAGGCATAAAATAAGTAAAATTAATAAAACCTTAAGTCTTAGACGATTCCAGCTCAGGAAATGGATGTCAAATCATGAATCTATACTGGAAGAACTACCAGATGACAACGAGATAAAAATACTCAATATACATAAAGATGAATCAATAAAAACCTTAGGACTTAAATCCAATAAAATCCAATAAAAGATAACTTCCGTTTTACTATAAAAAATGCAAGATATAAATAAATGGACGAAAAGAATGATACTTTCAAACACAGCGCATATTTTCGATCCATTAGGCTGCCTGATACCAGTAACAGTCACAGCTAAAAAATATATATAAAAAAGTAAAGTATCGCCGATAAAAAACAAAAAACAATTCCAAAAGTAGAGCTATGTGGTTCGTATTTACTTGCAAAACTAATGAGACGAGTTTCACAAATATTGAATAGTAACGCCATGATGTACTGTTGGAGTGACTCAATGATTACTATATGCTGGATTAAAAATATTAAAAATAAAGAAAAATTTATAAGAACAAGAGTTGAAGTTATAAAAAAATGGATATCAGAAACAAAATGGCAACATGTGAAGTTACAAGAAAACCCAACAGATATAGCTTTCCGAGGAATATGTCCTTCCAAATTGAAATATAATCCATTATGGTGGAACGGATCCTCATGGCTAACAAAAGAAGAAAAAGATTGGTTAAAACCTGAAAGAATAGAAGAAGTGAAAATACTGACAACAGTTACAAGCGAAAAAACGAAATAATAGAACAACTTATAAAAACAAACTCCAGTCTAACTAGGTTGGAACGAATCATAGTATGTATACTAAGATTCATAAGCCGATTCAGAAGAAACAAAAATCAAGAAGAATAGTTATTACGAAAGAATTACAAGAGGCTAGAACTATATTAATCAAATATCATCAACAAAAACACTTTTCAGCAGAACTGAAATTAATTAAATAAAGAAAAGAAATCAGCAGAGGAAGTAAAATTATTCAATTAATACCATTTATAGATGAAGAAGGTATATTAAGAGTCGGAGGAAGACTAACTAACAGCGAACTAACTGAAAACCAGAAGCATTCAATCATTCTGGTTAGAGACAAATACACGGAATTAATAACAGAACAAGCACACTATAAAACACTCCATGGCGAAAACTCGGTAATGGAAGCATACGTTAAAAGACGCCACTAGGTAATAGGTATTAAAAAAATAATCAAGAAAATATGCGGTAACTGTATGAAATGCATTAGATTTAAACAAAATTTCGCAAATGAAATAATGGGAAACCTACCAAAATATAGAGTAACACAAAATCATCCGTTCGAACATACAGGAATAGACTACGCTGGACCGATGCAAATGAGATGTTATAGAGGTCATGGGCAAAAATCATGTAAAGCATACATAGCAATATTTATATGCATTACCACAAAAGCAATTCATTTAGAAGCAGTCAACGACTTGACATCTGACGCCTTCTTAGCAGCACTAAAAAGATTTTTCGCACAACGTGGAAAAAGTGCGCATATGTACTCCGACAATGGTACAACATTTATTGGAGCAGCAACCAAACTAGACAAAGAATTTGAATTAATGAAGTAGCATCAATATTAGCAGCAGACAAAATTGAATGGCACTTTATTCCTCCAGCTAGTTATTTCGGAGATATATGGGAAGCTGGTGTCAAATCAATGAAACATCATCTAAAAAGAACAATTGGAGAATCAAAATTAATTTATGAGGAAATGACGACACTTCTGCATCATATAGAAGCAGTACTGAACTCTCGACCACTTTGTACCATGAATAATGATGTAGAAAGTATAGAAGCACTAACTCCAGCTCACTTCTTAATGGTACGTCCTATGTTGGACGACCCAGTACCAACTACAGACGAAAGAACACGCAAATTCGATCATTGGAACCACATATAAAAAATGAAAAAAGATTTCTGGAACAGATGGAAACATGAATATTTAACAACATTACAAAAAAGAAACAAATGGCAAATAGAAAAAAATAATATAGCCAAAGGCGATGTAGAAATAATAAAAGACGAAAACTCATCACCAACAAATTGGTCACTAGGGAAAGTCAAAAAAATATATAAAGGAGCTGATAGAAAAGTGAGGGTGGCCACTCTCAAAACCCTCAAAGCCAATTAACAAACTATGTCAACTTATAAAAGATGATTAAAATGAAACAAAACGCAAAACTAATACAAGATGCACGAGAAAAAATACCTGTATAAATCTAGCAACAATCTATTTAGCCATGTTGTGCACACTGCCACTAGCAAAAGCATCATCAACTACAACAACATCTTCAATACAAGCATTAAACAATAACATATCAATTTTCTTGGACGAAATAGGAGAAGTAAACACTCAGACGCCAACATGGAACTTGGTACTATATTACGAGATGGAACCTTATTTTAAAATGATAAATCATGCAAAAGCAGTACTAGAAGTAACAAAGCCAATCTATCCAAAATTATTACTAGAAGAATAATTATTAATAGAAGAATTAGAAAATAACAAACTATTCATGGACATAAACTCTGTCAGAAGGAAAAGAGCTTCCCTAGAGTTCATGGGATCACTATTCTATATCTTATTCGGAACAATGGATGATAAAGACAGGAGAGATCTCGAAGACAATATGCAAAACGTGCTAGATAATCAACATAATTTAGTAAAATTAACACGGGAATAAACATCCGCAGTAGATGCCACAGTAAACATATTAAAACGAACTACTAACGACATAAATGCACAATTTACTGACATGAGAAACAAAGTTGAAGCCATAAATGAAACATTAAGTGAAACATTCCTAGTATATAGAGAATCAATAAACTACTTTATGGTAACAAAGCAACTTTCATCAATGATCGACGAAACCTCAAGTACACAACGAGAAATAATCAATCTATTGATAGACATAAACCACAACAAAATAAGCGTGCAACTACCAGGAAAAAAGGCGGAATTGATTTACAAATCATATACAAATTACTAGAAGCCAATGGGATATTCGTTGGTACCAAATTAATAATAAGTGTAAAAATTCCGTTATTATCAATACACCCATCATCAGTGTATGAGGTAATACCTCTATCAATTAAGAAGGATGATGCAATGATAATATCAATGATATCAAAAACGATATTATTATATAATTTCGACATAGACTGTTATCACCAAATGACTCAAACAACCTTTAACAAATGCATTAGAATATATACAAACAAATACATTTGCAAAGGTAATTGGCTGTGGCAGGACGTTAATGACTCAGCGTGTGAAATAGCGCCGATCAAACCAACACAAGAGGACAAATGCGAATACGACGAAGTATCCTCCACATCAACATGGATAACATTAAATGACAACAACAGATGGTTATTCAAAATAATCGAAAATAGTTCAGCCCATTTTAAATGCCCATCAAATAAAAACGAAATTGTCCACTTTCCCAAACAAGGGATATTAAATCTGCAAACATGCTGTAAAGCGAGAATAAAAGGAACAACGCTAATAGCCTCAAATGATCGTTGGTCAACAGATGACAAAGAGATGTACAGACCAATGACAAAATTAACAGAAAACATAGAAAATAAATGTATAAGGCCACTGAAATCATGGGAAATAAAAAACACCAAAAAATTAACGGAAATTAGAGATGAAATACTTGAACTAAAAACAAGTAAGACTGAATTAAAAAATCTACATTTTAATCACGCCTCAGCGCACATATCATTAGGACTGATAATAATTGTCGTTATTGGAATAATATTATACGTGATAACTTCAAACAGGAAGAAGAAGTTTGTAGCAGTTACATTCAGAAACCAAAATATTTAATCTTAATTTTAGGCGCCGGCAGACTGAACAATCATGAACACATTTATTTCCGCAATAAGACGCCCGCAGAATTTTCAACATTTATATATTTATCAACTGCATTCTATATTACACTCTATTACTCTAGCAACTTATACTTA